CCCATGCTTGTGTCCTTGGCAAGACTATCCCAACTGTCGATCCCATCCTATGCTCGTCATCACACTGTAGGTTTTATGCGTTCCAACGTGGACCAATCGATCGTCGAGGTGTCAATACCGATACCGCCGCATTCTGTGCGAGGACCTATGCCCATGTGCAAGCCTTGGCGCATCATGGCTCAAGCTATGGCTACGTCGCGAGCGCTCGCCTCGTAGCAAGCCTGTCATCACGTGAGCCATGCGCGACTCAGTACGTGGCGCGAAGCATCGATTGCAGTCTGCTGCGATGGACGTCGTCGACGGAGCAAACAGTCGAGGAGACGGCAAGAGAAGCGAGAACGAGTGGTGGTATACATGTATTCATGACAGCACGATAGAGCGTGGGCTTACTGGCCGCATTGGCAGTTGTCGCCGCACTGGCACGGGTTGCAGGAGCAGCTCGGGTTGGCCTTGGCGGACGAGCACGCGCACGACGTGGGTGTGCAGGCGCAGGACGGACCGCACGTGCAGTTGTCGCCGCATTGGCACGACGGCGTCGTGGTGGCGCACGTGCACGGGTTGCAAGCGCAGGACGGACCACATTGGCAAGCCATTTTCTTCTTGTGTCTTGGACGGCAAATGGGAAATGCAGCCTGTGTTGCTTGGCCAAAAAGAGCCGTCGACCCGCAACCAGCTGCTCGGGTGGGTTGATTTACGAACGACGTGCTGTCAGCAGTTGCAAGACCTTTTGCAGGCTGGGCGCGCGCTTCTACCCTGCACTGGACGATAGCGTTTCCTGCACGAGGTATCAGTTGTGAGGTGCTATGGCGAGTCCAGCGCTGCAGCGAAGGATGAGCCCTCGCAGGCCAAGGCGCTCTAGCAGCAGTGAAGAATCATGGTCTGCTGCGACAGTGGCGCCAAACCCAGGATATTTTTTAATTTGGACCAATCACCGTGCCCGCACATCATATTGTTATAACATCCACGTCACCCTTGCCGGAGGTCGCAGCCGTGTGCGCAACGTAGCCTGCACACGACGATATGCAAAACGCCGCAAAGACTAACCTCTCACAGCCGCACGCCATTGTCCTCTTTGCTTGCTTGTTTGAACACAAGGCGACAGCGTCGCGTTCGCGGCAGAAGGGCCACGCATCTTCAAGTTAACACGCCACGTGCGATCGAAATGGTTATAATCACCAGATGGGCTAGTCGCACGCAACTTTACGTGTGAGGGGACCATGTCGACTGCAGCGCTCGTGCTCTTGGCCGCGGCCGTCGCCAGCGGCATCTACGTCTTCTTCAGCAACGCGCCCGTCGTCGACATCGAGGCCTGCCATGGCATGTCCCTCACCTTCCTCATCCAGGGCGTGCTGCCCACGTGGCTCGGCGGCCGCGACGACAAGCTCGGGACCGTCCAGGCGCTCTGGGCCTGCGCGAGCCTGTACCAAGAGGCGCATGCGAACTTTGTGCTCGCGAGCTTTGTCGTCGTGTACGTGACGCTGCAGACGTTTGCGATTCCCGGGCCGATCATCCTCAGCATCCTCTCGGGCGCTTTGTACCCGTTTGGCTTTGCGCAGCTGCTCGTGGCGTTCTGCGCGACGACCGGCGCGTCGCTCTGCTTCCTGCTCTCGCACTTTCTCGGGCGCTCGCTCGTGCAACGCGCGTTCCCGGCCATGATTGCCAACTTCAAGGACAAGGTCGTGACTCGATCTCTTTGTCGCTGGCTCATTTTTTCCCTAGATTGCATCCAACCGCGGCAACCTCTTGTACTACCTCCTCTTCCTGCGCCTCACGCCGCTGCTGCCCAATTGGTTTGTCAACGTCGCGTCGCCGCTCGTCGACGTGCCGTTTGGCCATTTCGTGCTCGCGACCTTCTTGGGGCTCATGCCCGCCAACTTTATCCACATCTCGACCGGCGCGACGCTCAACAGCGCCGCCGAGGCCGGCTCGAGCAACGTCGTCAACTTTTGCATCCTCTTCAGCTTGCAGTTTGTCGCGCTCCTCCCGACGCTCTTCAAGTCCAAGCTCCAAGCGCTCGATGCCAAGACCAAGACCCAGTAGGTAATGGGAATACAGCATCCTCTTATGGCGCCTCGAGAAACGCGGCAAAGGCCTGCGTCGTAAAGAAATTTGCACCAAACCCGCGCTTGTCCGGGAAGGCCTCGAGGTACCCCTCCGCGTCAAAGCGAGGCCGGTCGTCCTTCGTTGTCGCGGGCTCGTAAAAGGCTTCGTACCCTTGGATGAGCCTAGCGCAATATGCCTATCCTGTGATTTTGTACAAGGAGACACACGAAAAGTGAAAGGCGCTGAACGCGGCTCGAAGCGCCGACCAGGCGGCGTCGGCACTCTCGACCGACCGGTGCGGGTCGGCTTGGCCGTACCGGAGGAGGACCTCGCGCCACGCATCGGGGCTTGTCGCTTCGCGCAGCGGCAGCCCGTGGTGATCTGCGATCGATTTGACGCTGGACGCCATGCGCTTGAGGCTCTTCCGGGGCACACTATACGCACAACTCGTGTTTCCAAGCTGTAGAAGCGGTCAATTTTCACGGACGTCGGAAGGGAGGCGTGGCGACCCCGGGGCACAGCAATGGCGTCGACATCCACATTGACAACGATGACGTCGAGACCGCGGAGCGTTGCGTCCGTCGACTCGGAGGTGACGACGCCCATGAGGTACGGCACGGGGGCGTGCAAAAAATCAAGCAGCGACTACGAGCATCTCCTTGTGCCACGTCATCAGCGTCAGCGACGTACGTGAGGGAGCACGGGGATGTACACGGCTTGGGACGAAAACGGGCTCAAGAGGGCGCGAAGGGTCTCGCAGATTGGAGTCAAGAGGCTCGGGTTGCTCGAACACACGATGACGTGGCGCTCCGAGAGGACGTATAGCACAACCTAATCGCCGTATGACTGCAGCACCAACAGAGATGCACGTACCAAGAGAATGTGGTCGACGCTGAGCGCCTGCAAGAGCACGCCAAAGTCGACTTGAGACGGTAGAAAGGACGCTGGTCGTGGGATCGGACCGATGCTGACGCCGAGGAATTCAGCGGTCGACGATGGGGTCTCGGCCAAGAACGCCCGAAGCGCCGTCTCGGGCAGCGTTGGGGCCGATGCCACCGAGCGCAGGACGGTGTGGAAGAGGCAAAAGTACGGATACGAGGACACGACTGCATACGCTGATGACGCGTCGTTGTCGATGATAAGCGACGACACGTAGATAGCAGCGCCCGTTGCATCTAGTTGCACGTCCTCTAGATATTGTTGAATATGGAGAATGCACAAGATACCGGTGAGGACTGTGTCGACGCAGCGCGGACCGCTGAGAAGCGCGGCGGGCGGCGCGCAAAAGAGCGCAATTTGATCGGGTACCGTGTCGGCCATGTGCGCCTGTATGCAGCGCTCTACGCAAGGCGGGGTCGAGAGGCTGAGCACGAGGAACGCGCGAGCAACGTTCGCCGCGCCTTGGGTCGAATATGTCGGTGCCGACGCTGGCAAGGACATGCCCCATGGCGTAGGATTCGGCTACGTATAGATAAGACTGCGAACGTCCGATTACTCGAAGCGCACCAGAGGCGCAGTATGGTGCTGGTAGTGGGACACGAGGAGTCGCATCGTCGACTTGAATTGAGGTGGACCTACGAGTCCTCGGCATCAGCATTTATAAAGGGACGTTAGACCAAAAGGGACGCACTGGCCGTCGCTAGAAAGGCCAAGTACTTTTGAAAACCGGACGACGAGAGCGTTGTCGACGCCGGCGTGTCATCAAACGTCTCGCACAACCACTGCATCGTGCTTTCGGTCACGGGCGGGCAGCCGCAGAGGCCGTTGACCGTGTTGACGTTCGAGTGGGAGAGACCGCCGCGCTCCCCGCCATACGTTGCAACAATCCAGTTGACCGCAACCGCGTACAGCGGCACCAAACCGCCTACGAAGTAGATGGAGAACTGGTACTTGGATCCAGAGACGCACCGTCCGACGACGGGCGCTCGATGCTAAAGGCCTCCGTCACAAACGCAAGTGCCTCGAGGTCGCTGCTGATGGGTCGTTGGTACAATTGGCGCTGGTCCATCAGGTCGGGCACCATCCAGCGACTAGCGAGGCACCCTACCCGCCGTGTCCTAACATTCTGCAGCATATTCGCTCTGACGTACCCAGCGGCAATGTTTGCACGAGCTGCATCTTGGCATGGGCGTAGCTGTCGTGTACGATGGCGGACGGACGCATCGTCAGCGCCAGCTCGTAGCGTCGGCAGGCTTCGTAGTAGTGTACAGCCCGAGACGCATCTCCGGGAACGCTCCAGAGCTCGATCGTGTCCCCGAGGTCGGATGGCGCCGACGCCAAGCGTGCTGCAAGGGCGGCGTCCGGCGCGCCAGAAGCGACAAGGTCGCCCGTAAGCGCGAGGGCATTGGCCCACTCGAGCACGCAGCGGTAGATCCAGTCTTGGTCATCCCTCTCGTCGTCTGGCGACTTGAGGCACAGGTACGCCCAGTAGGCATGAAGCTTGGCGGAGGCCATGTGTGCAATCTCAAGCGCCAAGCTGGCTCTAGCACCGAGTGTCATATCTCTGGCAAACATATCCGCACGTACCGAGCTGGATGGGCTTTGGCGATCTGAAACGCCGTCACCGAGAGCGACGCGCCAAAGCGGAAGAGAAGCGACGCGTGCATTCCGTCCATGCCGTTCACAGTGGCGCGCGTGAGTGCCGCGTCGTAGAGCTCGGTGGCGGCCGCCCACGCCTCGACCGCTGCGTCAACGTCGTCGCGGGCCAGCTGCGGAAGCATGTTGGCGTACAAATCATCGGCCGTCGCCAGCGGGTCGGCGGTCGATCGACCATTGCTCATGGGCTCGTCATCCGAGTGGAGAAGGGTAGCTGCCTTCTCCACCAATGCAGTTGTGCTTGTCCGCTCCAAGAGCCAGCTCCGGCGCGCCTCCTCCATGTAGTCACAGTCGCCGTCGGCCTGGCACATGCTCAAGAAGGCGCGGTGCAGCGCATGGGCCCCTCGACGAAAGGCCATCGCGTGGTGAACGCGCTGCGAGAGAGCGGCAATGTTGGCTGGCGTCAACCGATCGACAAGGTGCTGAACAAGCAGCTTGACGACGACAATTGGGTACGCCTCGTCGAGCGTTTGTAAGCGAAGGAGGTCCTTGTGGGCAGTCGCCATGCTCGCTTTCGTGGCCAGCGGCAGCATCGCGGGTAAGAGCCGCGGCAGTGCTAATAGCACCAAGTGCAGCAAGGTATGTACGCTATCGGCCACGGGAATCGTCCGAGTGTTGGTTGACGCGACGACCGTAAAGGCTGCCGCAACCTCTTCGCTCGTGACGAAAAAATGCTGGCCAAAGCGAAGCGCCGCCCAGAACGCTTGAAACGCCGCAAAGTCGACGCGCACCGGCGACCCCGTCGTGGGCACAAACGCCGAGAGGAGGTAGTGGAGCGATTTGGCGTACCGCTGCAGTAGCTTGCGCACAGCGTGGAGTCGAAGCAGCCACGCCTGGTCGTCGCACTGGTCCAGAATACTATCGAGCTTGGGGCGACCCATGTTATTCGCGATGAGCGTATACACTTGCTGCAGCGACGTGCACGGCTGGAAGGCGAAGCGCGGGTAGTGCTGCCCGAGATAAGCCCACGCGTGCAGGAACTTGTCGAGGTCGAGGCCGACACCGCGGACCGCGTGCGTTTTGAACGCGACCATCTGCGCCGTGTCCCACTGGGTTTGCCGCCCGGGCGTCGGCGCGATTGAGCGTGTCATGGCCTTGAACTGCTGCCAATTGATCGTTGTTCCGTCCCGCCCCCAGGGGTTCTGGAGCGCATGCATGCGAAAGAGCATTTGGACGCGCCGTTCGTCGTCGGCTTCGGACGAGGCCACGCGCCGGGGTATCGCCAGCACGGGCGACACGACGAGACAAAAGCGGGACGTCGGTATTTGCACAAGCGGGGTTGTCAGAGGAATGGGCGCCGGCGGCACGTTGGGTGCCACTGGCAGCAGCGAGCACGCCGCCAAGTCGGTGGTGCCCAAGACGTTCCAGTAGAGAAGTACTTGAACTACGAGGTTGCGCGCTACGTACTCGTCTGGCACCCAGCCCTTGTAGGCGGCGGTGCGGCGGCCGTCGTCGTCATGGAGGGCTACATGGACTTGACGCATTGTGCTGCATGCTGGGACTGTCTCAATTGTAACGAAGCAGTTTGGATCTTGAAGGGGCGCGATGGTACCCGGACGCTTGTGGGTCGCCGTCGCGTGGGCGCTTTGCACCCTTGTCGCTGCGGCGACAGAACTACCCCGCCTCTCGACGAGTGCGCTTCTGGAAGAGCTTGCACGCACGGAGTTGCAGATTGCGAGCCAGACGCACAAGCTCACTTTGCTCCACGCGCTGCGGCGGGAGCTGACGAGCGACGTAACGCAGCTACCGCACATGCAAGCCGAGCTACAAGCGGTCTTGGCACGCTTGAAGGCGCCCGGCAGCTGCGAAGCGACGACACCATCGACGGAGCCAAGCGTCGCCTTGCTCGTCGAGCGCCCACTATTACTTTTACCATCGGCGCCGGTCTTGTTGCACGCGCACCGCGTGGTCCAGCCTCACCGATCGGCACTGCTACTACTCGCGCTCACTGAAAATGGTGTGTTTGATGTCTCGCACTTGCCAGGCGGGCAGCCCATGGCAAGTGCCACGCTGCCCAAGACACCGGATCTCGTTACGGCCGCCGCCTTGGACTCGGACGCAAGTCCGATGGTGCTCTACGCATTCCTCAGCAACCGGTCCCTCAGCACGTTTAGCGTCACGGTTTCCCTAAGCGACACGGACAGCGCCGTTCACGTCAATGTCACGAAGCTTTCGAACCTGGCGACGGCAACGAATGGCCCGGTGCAGCAGGTGCACTTGGTGTCGGCGCAGGGCCAGAAACTACTCGTCGCCGGCAGCGAAAACACGTTTCACGTGCTGCCTGTGGACGCAAGCTACTTGAAGACGATGCCAGCCGGCGCACCGATCGCTGCGCTCCTGCCGCATCGCCACGTCATTGCCGTCGCCAGCGAGACGCGCGTCGACTTGCACCATCTGCTCAAGCTCGGCGACGGTCCAGCGTCTCTCTACTCGTGCGACGCGGGCCTTTTTCACATCGCCAGCGCCGCCTTCGACGCTACCGTCGCGAGCCGCCTCTACGCAGGAACGACGAGCGGCGACATTCTCGTCTTTGACGTCTTCCACGGCAACACGCGGAGCTGTCGGCCAATTGCGCGCGTCGGAACGTCGGCGTCGGGCCCGCTGCTTCTTCGCGCGATCGCCCCGAGCTTTCTACTCGCAGCATCCAAGGACACACTATTTCTGTACGAAACAACCTCGTCGCTCACGCTGCTTGGCGGCGCACCGACAGCTTTGAGCGACGTTGCATCGATGCGCCTCTCGGTGGTGCCCAGTGCCTACAACGGCGAGTTTCACGACGACGCTTTGCTAATTACGAGCGCCGGCCGCGCGGTGCAAACATACCAAGCGGCCTTGCACCGCCATGAGGTACATTTAGAATCGCATTTGTTGGCTCTTGCCATGTTAACGTATTTATTAGGCTGCGAAAGAAGCATCTTCGTGGTTTGGGGACGGCGTCATGGGGCGGTTCCCACTGCTCGTTGGACTCTGTATCGCAGTCGTTGCATACAAGTTGTGGAGTCGCCCGGAGCCAAGCGTCGCGCCGCGGCCGGCCTTTCCGACTGACGATCGCCGATCGCCCCGAGCCGACGAGGCCGATCCACCGACGTATCATCATCGCGAGGCGGCGTGCGTCGACGAGTTTGCAACAGCGCAGAAGCGTGCTCGGCAGCGCCTCGACCGCACCCAACTCGAGCGAGAAATCTACTAGACTTGAGCGAAAAAATGATTACGCTTCGAGTAATTCCTTTGGAACGTGGTTGCGCGCGTTGTTGGATTGGAGTAGCGATTCGAGTTGCGCCTTATCAATGCACACGGAGGCGAGGATTTGGGGGCGCGCGCTAAGAAGTGACAGCGTCGCGTCAAGCGACAGCACTGGCACCGTAAAGTGGCGCTTGAGGTACGTGTAGATCTTTTCAAAGAAGCGTGCGTCGGCCTCGATCGCGGCGGGCGACAAGTGCTCCTGCAGCAGCTGGAGAAGCTCCGAGCGCGAAATGCCATCGCCGTGGCTCTGCGCGTACTTGAAGAAGAGATCTACCCCATGATGTGATTCGAATTCACAAATGCTATCCGAAGACAGTACACTGAAAGTGCTGCTGTGGGCTGCCGATGCGCAAGAGCGCGTCGATGGCTTCCGCATACGTGGCAGCGTCGCTGAGCAGTGCGTGCGTCTCGCCCCGTGTAGGTGGCGCGTCGTGGCTATAAGAGCATATTATCGAGCGCATCGAATAGGCTATTGTAGGCAACGTCGTACAAATGGCGGGAGAGGTCCGACTGCGCGACGACGCGCGCGTAGTGCACGCGCAACGCCTCCTCCATGGCTGCAACACTGGCTGCAACGGTTTGGCGGCGCTTAAATTCGGTATTCTGATGACACGCAACTTTAACAATGTACTCACTTGTTCGAGGCGCCATGAGATAGTTCAAATGTACACAGCTACTGAACGGCTAATATTGCGTGATTCACGCGGTTTATGTATAAGTATAGGTAGGATCCAAAGACCCAAGGACACGAAGAACTCCGGGCCTGAAGCTCGGCGGCGCACATGTGTTTGCGTGTGAATAGACCGAGGCGAATCCAGCCGAGATATTTTCGGCAAGTCACGCCGGCCGCTGATTGGTTGCTTCGATATTCGATTCGATGTTTTCGCTGGAACTCCGCATCAGCGACGAGCTCGTCGGGCGCGTGGCCGTCGCCGTCAGCACCGATGGCCTCGTCTTCCAGCATAAGCGCAAGTCGATGCGCCTTCCCGCTGAGAACATGGTCTCGTTGACGCGTGACGGTGACGCCGTGTACGAGGACGCCGTCCATGTGGCAACTCTAACCACTCTCTAGGGTCATTGCGACCACGCTCGCCCAGCGCGACCCGCTCCTCTTCCACTGCAGCGAGATTCTCGCGCACGAGAAGTTCTTTTTGACGCTACAGACGCAGCTGCCAGCGATTCCGTTTGAGCGCCGCCGGGCCAGCACGGCGCTCGAGCGTCGGTTGGCCAAGAAGCGCACGGCCACGGACGCCTCGTCGTTCTACGGCCCGACGCAGGCGCCACTTACCGCGCAGCTCGGCGATGCATTCGGGCGAGAGCTCGAGTACCGGATCGAGCACTCGATGCAGTGCCAGATCGACGGCATCGCGCGGCCCTACATGGCGTTCGCCTTGCAGCAGCCTGCGATGTCCTTTCTCGCCGCCTGCCGCGCCAAGCACCCCACCACGACCGTAGGATGGTCTCAGCTACAAAAGGACCTTCACAAGACTACAGGCGCGACTCTACTCGTACGAGACCCCGGGAAGCCGCCGGTTCCTCGTGGCCGACGCCGCGCTCTTTTGCGAAAAGTACTTGGCGACGGCGCCGCATCACCGCCACGTGTACGAAATCATCCAAGAAAACCACCCGTGTCGTCTCTATTTCGACCTTGGTAATTTTGTCTCTTTTCTAAAAATTTTACAAGTGAATTTCTAGAATTTACAAAGGCGTACAACCCGACGGTGACGGCGCCAGATACGCTCCTCGAATCGTTATTTCGGCTTTTGGCCCTTGCCTTTTATGTACGTCTTGGCTGTACTGAGACATGTTGTGTACAACCTGTCTATGTGTAGCGAGACTATGGTGTGCGGCTCGATCGCAGTGCGATAATAGACTTGGCGTCGTCGTCGGACGCCAAGTTTAGCCGCCATTGGGTCGTCGCGCCGACAGACGAATCGTGCAAACATGTGCTCTTTGAAAATAACATTCACGCTGGCCACGTACGACAATATGTTCCACCTCGAGAGTGACACCAAGTGGTCTAGTTTATCAAGCGCTTGCTCGAAACGTACCTCTCGGACGAGTCCCACCCGTTCTATGTGGTGAAAAAGGACGGCACCAAGCAGCTCTTTATCGACACGGGGGTCTACACCCGGTGGGTCCTCCGCCGCCTGCGATAGCTATCTGACGCTGAGGCTAGGAACCGCGCGTTCCGCCTCTGGCTCTCGTCCAAGTTCGGCTCGGACCGCGTGCTCACGCGCGGCGAAGAGGCTGGCGAGATGCCCGACGCCGCATTTCTCGAAGCTTCGTACATTTGTCCGACAGTTGCCGTCGGCGCACGCCTGCTCCAGTGCGATCCGCCAACGACGAGCCGCCACACGGGGCGAGGCAGCTTCGCCCGCGCGAAAAGCGCGGTGCCGTCCGAGTACAAGTACGGACCATCGCCGTGGCCCGCGCTCGACGCGTTCGTTCGAGGCCAAGCCACGACCGGCGGCGTCCAAGGTGAGATTCGATCCTGGCAAATGCACCCCGACTACCCCCAGCGCATCACCTACCACATGGACCGGAACCGGTTCTGCGCGCGGATTGGCCGGCCGCACAAGAGCAATAATGTCATGTTTCTGGTGGACCGCACCGGTGGTGTTTACCACCAAAAGTGCCACGACCCCGACTGCGCCGGCTTCCGGTGTGTTGATTTCGACAAGAAAAGGCAAAGCAGATGCAAAGGATGATGTAGGTCGACGGCACTGGCGCTGCCCGACGCGCTACGTCATCGTGTGGAACGACTCGGCGAACGAGAGGATGCTTGACGTGTCGAGATGCGTGCCCGGCGCAGGCCCAAGGGCGCCCAGTACGGCCGCCTAGTCGCCCGTGAGCCGCTGGTGACGTCGCACTGCAATGTACCTTGGCCACGGCGTTGACAGGGCACGCCGCCTGCAGCTCGGCGCCGACGATCGGGATGCGTGACACAAACGTCGAGACCGGACCGAGCTATAAGCATCAAACATGTTGACACCACGGTCGAATATGGAGCAGTACGTACGTCGCGCCCAATGAAGCGCATGGGCCCGCCCACGCACTGCAGCGGAAGGAGGTAGTTGCCGACGCGACGCGTGCCGTAGATCATGCCCGGGCGCAGGCAGACGCCGGTCGTTGGAAAGCTACCAAATACATGTCAACGCATGCCAGGTGACGGATCGCCTACTGGGCGGCAATGGCGTCTTCGACACGCTGCTTGCCGTTAAAGTACCCGTACAGCGGCGCCCACGTCGGAATGTCCTTGCCCACGCGCGACTCGGAGATGAAGACGACGCGATCGACCTCTACGGACAAGGTGAGCGCGAGGATGGACGGCAACGGCCATACCGCCGGCCTTGGCCGCGCGAACGACTTCAATGTTGGCGTCGCCGCACATCTTCTGCATGAATTCATTGCTGCCAAAGGCGCCGACCGTCGTAATGACGCCCGTGACCCCTACCACTGGTGTAAGCCCACGGCTCGTCCATGCGTTGTCTACCGTCCACGGCCTTGGCCAGATCGGTCGGCGAGAAGACGTCGCCTTGGATCCATTCGACCTACATGGTAAGCAGATGTCAAGGTTGTGCTGTGGAGCATGCCATGGCGAAAGGCCATCGTACCTTGTCGACCCATGGCACTTGATCGCCCCACGTCGGCTTGCCCGATCGGTTCAAGCTGCGCACCTCGATACCCTTGGCGACGGCGCGCTGGAGGATGTTGCTGCCCACGAAGCCATTGCCGCCGACGACGAGGAGCGTATGCTGGCGCGGGTTGTAGGCCATCGTCGAGTGCACGACGCGCTTCGTCGCTGTGGTGGCTGCCGGAAGCATCTCGTTTTCAACTGCCGATCCAGAGGTTGCAGCTCTGACGGCATATGATTGGACAAAAACTGACCAATCATACGCTAGTCAGGCTGTTAGCAAGTCTAAAATCACCCATTCGGATAGTTTTACTGCCTCTGTGGCTGGTCTGGTGATGGACGTTGAAGCTTGCAGGTCACGACAGGGCACGAAGCATCGACTTGAGAAGACTCTCTCTGAGGTCTCATTTTGGCGCCGACGTGGGGGCTCAACGAGACTGTCGACGAGATGTATAAGTGCAAAGTTTTCACTGAAAAAGAATGTGCAACAAGCAGCCAACGAAACGACCCTTGGAAGGCCAGTGATTTGGGTTCTCTACGTATCTGGCGACCGATCCTACGCCCACAAAGCACGCGGCTGAGCGCTGAAGGCGTGTATGTGTACGGACGCCCACCACCAACAGCGCCATCCCACGCACGAACCTGCAGAATGAAGGCCCACGAAGTTCATAGGTATCTCAAGTTGCGTGATTTAAGTCGAGGGTTCGTCGGTGATGGCTTGAAATTGGCGCCAAATGGCCTTGTCGACTTCTTCGCCAGCGCTCGACGCGACCATGTATTGCTGTAGCTGTAATTGACGGGCGTGGGTGGCTGCGGCATCCTGTGTGAACTGGTTGATCTCGCCTTGAACGATGGTTGGCGCCTCGGCCTCACGCGGCAGCGTCTGAAAAGCCTGCCACTCTAAAGCATCATACATTTCAATTGATAGCGACAAGGGACGTCGTACGCTGCTTGGCTGACAGTGCTATTGGCAGTGAATCCACTGCTGGAGTGCTGGTTAGGAATTCAGGTGCCGGTCGATCGCGCAGAATGGCTGCCTGCGTGTGGCAGTCCAAGCACACATCACCGAGCTCGGTAATCCCCACGTCGCCACATCCCTTGAGGCACATGGCAACGCGCACGAGCTTCTTCTTGGGAGGCATGGCGCATGCAGCTCACTCCTTCCGTCAATGGGCAATACGTGCTATTTATACTAGTACTCTGTTGTCTTGTAGCTTATTGGTTCCATTCAAATGAGACCAACCAACCACTAGTCTGAGTCTAGTCAGTGAAGTTGCTACTATGCAGCTCGAAGCATTTTTTACGACGTCTACAAGAGCCACGGGCAACTGTTGGCTCCCACAGTAATCCGGACCCCTTGACTGCTCTCGTTGGTGTTGAGGACGGTGCCGACAGCGACGCTGTGGACTTGGGTCACGGACATGACGTGCCGCAAGTCGACGCACCGCAGCAAGCTGAGGCGGGCACTCGTGCGTCGGCCGTCGTCATCTTGATAGAACACAAAGCAGTCGGCACCGCGCTGGCTCATGCACACGTTCTTCTTGCAGCGTTTTCGGTGTGCAAAGAGCGCGTAGATGGAGCCGCCGCACACGACATCGGTGCCGCGGGCCATGGCCAGCCACATACAAAAGCGGTGTTTCCAGTCGTTGAACGAGGCCGAGGCAAAGGCGCGCTTCCGCTTAGCGCGGCGCCACGACGCGAGGCCAAAGCCAAAGAGAAGCGGAAGCTGACCGAGAAGCATCGTGTAGACAAACGCTGCGAGTGAAATCTCAAGGCCGCGCGCTTGCTGCTCGGCGTTGAGGAGACAGCTGAAGAGGAAATGGTACAAATCGATGAAGATGAGGAGACGGAACTGGAGGAAGGTAAAGGGACCCGCGACGAGAGCGACGCCCATGGCGGTCATGCTCGGGTCGACTTCGACAAACGCGTCTTCTTTGCCAAGCCGCTTGAGCAAAAGCGACGTGAGCGAGAGCGCACCGTAGGCAAACCAGACAGTGCGCGAGAGGTAGAAGCACGCAATGATAAAAATGAGCGCGTTGTCGGTCTGCGAGATGCGCAAGAAGGCGCGCGAGACGTACTCGGTACTGAGCCAAAAGTCCAGCACGAACGCCGTCGCGATCCACGGATTGAGAAGAATGATACTTGTCGGGTCGCCAAGGACGAGCTCATAGACGCGGGCTTGCGTGGTCGGTAGCCCAAACTGCTCGAGATTGCTGTACAAGACAGCATACTGGCGGTAGTAATGGGCATACACACAGTACAAAATGTACAATGTCAAGAGACAGCGGCTAAGAAACTTGGCACACAGCCACGCCGTCGTGTACGTTGGCGTGTGGAACCCGATCCAAATGCACGAGACGTCCGTCGTGTTCTCGCCCCACGAGACCGAGTAGGACGTGGGCACGCCAAGGAGGCGGCCGGTGCTAATAAACGTAAAGTTGGCGAGCGGCGCGCGGTTGGCGAGCACGGCCAAGACATACGCGCGCTGGGCCGAGGTCTGAAAGGCCGCGTACGTCAAGTGGACGAGCGGTGCTTCCGAGATGTTGCGCACACCGGGTGCGATCGTGATGTTTTCCTGGATCACGTCAAAGTCTTCACCGAATGCGACGCCGAATGCGGGCTGGCGCGCTGCAAAGTACGTCGCCCACCCGGCATGGCACAACTCGTGGCTCGCACTGCAGTTGGCAACGTAGTCCCAGACGTCGGACCGGTCGTGCCACGGAAACGATTCCGAGACGTAGGCTTTGAGTGGCCTAGAAGGCAGTTCGCCTTGTTGATCAAAAGAGCGGATGCTTACATGACGGCGAGGTTGAAGACGAGGAGCAAGCTTGTGCACAGGGATCGCTTGTTGAGGACGACGCGACAGGGCAGCGTACTCGGCGCAGGCAGCGACGGGCCCACAGCAAAGGGCTGCACCCGCGTCGTCTGGGACATTCAACGAGCCGCGATCGAGCAAGTGAATGAGTCGCTGTATAATTAGACTGCCGTTGGAAGGTGCTACGTGTACTCGGCTTGGTGGTCATCTTCGTTCGACATCTTGTCGACCGTCCAGCGGACAATTACTGATTCTGTCCCGACCTTTGGCAGCTGAATTCCCCAAGAAGGGCAACGCTGGAGCCAACATTTCTTGAAGAGCCAATGATGCTACTTGGAGAAGCCGCTTTGGCGTCGGCGTGCACCGTCACAATTTCCTTCGACATCGTCAGAGGCCGATATCGTCTCGAGCCGTCCAACAGCTTCGTCCATGGCTATATGGTGGTAGCTGGGATCCAAGCACGAGAGCAAGCTCAGCTGCACGCTAATGGTTTGTGTATCGACCCCAACTATAATGTAGGAGTCGCTGCAGAGCTAGCTCGTGCACACGTTCGAGTGCAACCGGCGACTACGATCAAAAATGCGAGGTACCGTACACCGCCAGCATTCGCCACCGAGCGGCCAAAACGACTTATTGGTTGCACCACCATGTATTGTGTTTGTAGAGTTCATTCGAGGTTAGCGAGGTGACCACTCGATGGCTTAGCAGCAGCCGCCCTTGCTAGCGGCTGGTGTCGTGCCACTGAGGTCGATCGTGGCCGCCGGGACAAAGCTACGATGAGGTCAACAACCAAGTGCGAGAACGGTCATGTACATGTCGTCGTCTTGACCCTTTTGCAACGCGGTCTTGGCGATCGTCTGGAAAGCTTCTTCGACGCCGGTCGCTTCCTTGGCACTCGTCTCAAAGAATGCAATGGGGTGCTGCGCGTTCTTGGCCTTGCACCACTGCTCAATCTTTTGCGTCACCACCTAGATATCGCATTCTGAGCTACGACATCTTTGCGATCGATAGCGTACCCTTCGGTCCGCTTCCTGGTCGACTTTGTTGCCGAGGACGATGAACGGAAAGTTCTCCGGATCGCGCGGTCCTGCCTGGGCGAGGAACTCGTCGCGCCAGCTGTCGAGCTTGTCAAAAGACGTCGGATTCGTAATGTCGTAGACAAGCACGCAGGCGTCGGCGCCGCGGTAGAAGGCGACGCCGAGGCTCTGGAAGCGCTCCTGCCCGGCCGTGTCCCAGATCTGCATCGTCACGAGCTTCTCGTCGAGCATGATCTCCTTCGTGAGGAAGTCGGCGCCGATCGTCGCCTTGTACTGCGTGCTAAACTTCTGGTTCACATACTGGTTCATAAGCGACGTCTTCCCGACCCTACATGGCGCCATGAGATATATATCCAAGATACCTCAGAGGAAGCAGCACGCAGCTTGGGCCTGGAGCACCATGTCCATGGCATGCTTCTCCTCCTGGCATAAGCATATGCATGTACCCGCTGTCGCCGAGGATGATGACCTTGAGCAGGACCTTCTTGCGGTGCGCCATGATCGTCCGTCGGTCGCCGAAAAAGAAATGCTTTGGATCTCGTCTTCTTCCTTTGCAGGATACTACTACTTTGTATGATATACCCAGTGCCAGTTGTTTCGATGATCCTCTGATATGCAATGTGTCCGTTATCATCCAAAGATAGAGGTTTTATTAAATTTGGCATCTTGTGCCGCTTGACCTTGCCTCGTGGTGGGAAAGGACCTTATGCCGACGCTTGCAATAGGCTGCATCGCTATGATCATGCACGTGGGTCATAAAACATGAAGCCAACATACGGGACTCCCTGCGTGTAGTCTTTTGGTGCTACCGATATGATTGCTTTGGATCTATGATCGGCATGCGCCGAATACAGAAGGTCTAACCGTAAACCGTATGCAGACCGTTTTAGCCGTAAACCGTTGAATGCATCTGGGAACGGGTGTGAGATCCAGCCGGTTGGCACGGTCAGCCAGGCTGCTTGAAGTTGGTCGCTCCACGGATCGAATCGTTGACTCTGGCTGATGGCGACAGCTCTGGGACTGTAATCGCGTCGATGGCCTTCTTCGACAGCGGTCGGTTCTAAGGCGTCGCGCTGGTCGCAGTGCAGACTTGTCTAATCGCTGGACGAAGCTTGGTGCTTCGCTGGTGCCTCTCGAAAGATACCACAGTTGCCACATCATCATCCGGCATCACCCACATGGCGCGATCGTCGTCAAGCGGCTTGGCCTCACACTTGGTTCGGTCGTTTCAAGGCGCAGTGTAATACAGTATGGTCGCTCGCACACCATCGCCGTACGAAGGCATCCTCACGCGGCTCGTGGCGTTGCGCCAGCACTTCCACGAGCACCCGGAGCTCAGCTTCCAAGAGGTGCAAACGCAGACGATGCTGCGCGACTTTCTGCTGGACGAGGCCAACGTGCCCGCCGACAACATCCGAGCGTGCGCTGGCACGGGTACGGCGACAAGAGTGCAGTGCTTCTGGTGTCATGACGCTTGTGTACGTAGGTCTGATCGTCGACTTTGACGGACCCGTCGACGCCTCGACGCCGCGCAGTGCGCTGCGCTGCATTGCCTTTCGCGGCGACATGGACGCGCTGCCGATCACGGAGCGCAACCCGCACTTGGCGTACGCGTCGACGGTGGCCGGTGCTGCGCACATGTGTGGCCACGACGGGCACATGACGTCGCTCGCGGGCCTCGCGTGGTTTCTACAGCGCGCGACGCTGCCGCCCAACACGCGCATTCGCCTTCTCTTCCAGCCCGCCGAAGAAGGCCACTTTGGTATACCTCCATGCTCTTGATCCAAAATCTCAGCGCTCTCGTTTCGCAGGCGCCGTCCAAATGATCAAAGACGGGTGCCTCGATGGCGTCGACGAGGTGTACGGCTACCATAACGCACCGTTCCGCCTCGGGCACGTGCACGTCAAGCCCGGGCCCATCATGTCCCATGGCTCCAAGTTTGCCATCTCCGTGACAGGCCCCGGCGGCCACGGGTCGGCGCCGCACGCTACGACGGTTCGCCTTGCTATCGGGTCGCATCGACTGCATTGGATCATTGGAGTAGGACCCGGTGCTTGCGGCGGGACACATTGTGGTCGCGATGCAGAGCCTTGTGAGCCGCAACATTCCGGCCGGCGAGAGTGCGATCGTGACGATCGCGACCATCCACGGCGGCGAAGCCGACAACGTCATCCCGTCGCACGTCACGATGACAGGCACGTACCGCGATTTCAACCCGGCAATGGCCGACATCATCGAGACGCGCATGCGCGGCATCGTCGAGAACACGGCGGCGGCGTACGGCACCACCGGCCGCATTACGTTTGACGACTGCTACCCCGTGACCATCAACGCGCCCGACCAAGCCGCGATTGTCGCCGACGTAGCAGCGTGCGTGGTACACTCGGAATGCAGTAGATGCAAAATGTAGGAATGCGATCATGTGTAGGCCGGGAAGGGTTGCGTGAGCGACGACGGCCTCCCGCTCTGTGCGTCGGAAGACTTTTCGTACTACCTGCAGCAGCGCCCAGGCTGCTTCTTCATGCTCGGGACCACCGTGGACGGCGAGGCCCAGAACCGCCAGCTACACAGCGACACGTTCGACTTTAACGATGGCGTGCTGCCGCTTGCGATCCGCCTCTTCCTTGAGGTCGCCCAAAACCGACTGGGCGCTGCTCTCATGACACCCGAGGCTTTGTCGAGCATTTACGAGCCCAAGGGTGACTGCTAATTCCTTGTTTCGGACAATAAGAGAGAATGTGATCAACACTGCGCGAGACTCTTGTGCTCCGTGGAATTATGCTGCGTCTTGACTTAACTTGGCTCTACATCAGGACACTCGCATGCTTTTGCGTCACTTCATAGAACGTCGGGCAACCACGACGGTATCAATCGAACCAAGGGTCAATAAACTGTCTATTGACCCTTGATCGAACTCAAAACAGGTCAACAATGCCACGCAAGAGCTGCATCGCCAGCTCGACCTGGCACACGATCGCTGTTCTAACGCTATTAATATTTGAAGCACCGCCACTTGACAATACTATATAATAAAATAATTCATATAATTTATTTTATTGGCTACCTTTACTGCCTTTTTAGCCAATGATATACGATGTTGCGCGAGCCAAATCGGCCCAACGGCGCTGGCAGGCAGCATGGTCGACCAAAACGCGTCGGAAAACAAACTCGCTCAAACTTGGCACAACGAAAGAGCATGTTCTGGGGACCACAAAATGCGATGCCACGCCGGCAGAGGAAGCATACAGCCAGAGCTACGGGTCCATAACTGTTTATATGTGGTATATGCCATATATAATCACATTTATACACATTTGAAACGGGGTCGCCACGTTGCTGCTCCTATGAGCGCTCTCGGCCCATGCATGACCTTCGAAGCGTTCTTTAAAGTGAGCCCATGCGTCAATCAATACCGAATCACATACTGGTAGTCCCGTGAAGGGTACATTGGTACTCGGACTACTCCTTGCGAAACGTTGCCGCGGCTCATGCACTTACAGAGCCCAGGTTTAACGCGTTATATACTACAACAAAATATTTAAATTAATCTTGATATTAGTATTGTGATGCATTAAATATTCATCGGGATCTTCGATTGGTGCATCGGAATCCAAGATAACATGGCCGACGTTGCCATCCGCCACGGCGAGGTCGGCGAGCACCACTCGGCACAGATCTGGGCACCTGCGATCCTCTTCAAGCGAGGTACGATCTACCTGCATTGGTCATTCCATGTGCTTACGCTGTCCTTCGTGTGACGCAGCGCGGCTCACACCGGGCACGTATGTGCGCGTCGCGTGCCCGACCACTGGTGCGATGGCCTATCGCCAAGCGCGCCTCCTGCCGGCTCCGGCCGCCGACGCACCGGTGAGCGAGGCCTGGGTAGGCGCTTTCGATCATGTACACGGCTCCATCGCGCGTGTCCAAGCACTGCCATCACATCGACTGCCAACGATTGCGCACGTGCACCTCGAGTGGCAGCCGTCGGCCGTGACATTGCCGCCACCGCCTGTCGGCCTCATGATGGACGCGCTTCTGGAAGACGGCATGGTATGGCGCTGTCGGTGGTTTGGCACCGACTATGGCCATTGGCGCTGCCGCATCTTTCCGTGTACCCCGACGCCACTTGGTTCTGGCGCCTCGGCGGTGCTTGGGGTCGTTGGCAAGACGACGCAGGTGACGTTCTCGGGGCACCCGTCGTCAACCGGATTTTGCCTCGTGGACTTGACCGGCCAGTGCGGCGTGCCCAGCGAAGCACTCGCCAATCTGTCCGAGCTCTTGCTGCCGCAGCTGCAGTCCTCGACATCGTCGCCGAGCCACGCCCTGCTCGCGGGGCCGCTTGGCAGCGGCAAATTGCACACGGCGCGGCAGCTCGCCAAGGACGCGAATGCGCGATTTCTCCTCCTCGATGCGCAAGTGACGGCGGCCACCGACGTTGCGAGCGTGCTCAGCGATTGCTTTCATGCGCTGCTCGCCATGGCGCCAGCGATCCTCTGCATTCCCCACATTGAGCGCATCTTTCCCAAGTCTCTTGGAGCGACGGGCGGCGGTAGCGAGCGCCGCATCATCGACCTTTGCTCGCGCCTCGTCACGCTAGGTCTCTGCCCGTCGACTCAATACGAGTCTCATGTTAATCCTAGGTCAGTACCCCGACCGCGTCGCCGTCATTGGCACCTCGGTCGACCCGACGACTCTCCATCCCAAGGTCCGCGCGTGCTTTACAGATGAGCTTTCGATGCCAGTGACGACGCTGCCGTTCCGTCGCCAGCTCCTCGCCCACTTTGTCGCGCAGAAGAGCGACGTCGCTGTGGTCGGCGATACCGATTCGCAGCTCATTCAGTGCGGGCAGCAACCCAGCGACATACTCGCCGTCGCCAACTCGTTCGACCTAGCGTCGCAGCTCGCGCGTCTCCAGCTCAGCGCTACGAAGTCGCTCGTCTCGGTGCCCAAGGTGGCGTGGAGTGACATTGGCGGTGCCGACCATATCAAGCAGCAGCTCCAAGAAATGGTCGTGTGGCCCTTCGAGAAGCCGCACGTGTTTCGACGCATGGGCATCTCGCCGCCGATCGGTCTCATCTTGTACGGCCCACCCGGGACGGGCAAGACGATGCTCGCCAAGGCCGCAGCGACGGCCACGTCCTGCAACTTTCTCAATGTGACGGCCAGCGACCTCCTCTCGAGCGAGTTTGGCGCGAGCGAGCGCGCCTTGGCGGACGTTTTTCGAACGGCAAAGGCCATGAGTCCCTGCATTGTCTTTCTCGACGAGTTTCAGTCCATCTTTGCCAATCGGTCCGGCGCCGGGCAGGTACCGGCTCAATTTCTCCCATTTTTGTTGTTGAATAATCGCAAAACTCTAGATTGGCGCGAGCATGGCGTCGCAGCTGCTGCAGGAAATGGACGCGCTCAAAGCTCTCAGTGACGAGTCGCCCGACACGCATCTGCAGTACGTCTTTGTCTTAGCCGCGACCAACGCTTTGGACGCGATCGACGATGCCTTCTTGCAGCCCGGTCGGTTTGAAAACATCTTGTACGTGGGGTACCCCGACGACGACGGCCGGCGCCAGATCCTGGTACGGTGGTCCATTACGTACACGAGTGAACTCGTTGGAGTAGACACTGCTGCAAATCAGCATGACATGGGCCGACGACGTGGCCTTGGAGGGGCTCGTGGACTCGACGAAGGGTCTCAGCGCCGCCGAAATCGTCTCGGTCGTGCGCACAGCCGGCCTCCTCTCGCTCATGCGCCAAGGCTCCGAGCAGGTGCGCTTCTTGGACTCTTAGTCCGTTTCTTATCCACGGCGTAGGTGCATCAAGAGGCCTTTGACGACGCACTGCTCCAAGTGTGGCAACGCCATATCCCTCTCGCGACCTAATGACTGTCCTTGTCATCTCTATTTGAACCGACAGGATCGCTTGTTCGCAGCGTGTTGGGCTGTCACCGCTACAATGGCAGCTAGCAACAATGCTCGTATCCACGCGGTTGCGCTGCGCTACACAGGGTCCTTGGGTGATTCGACTTGCGGCATTACGCGAGTCTTGTGGTCAGAAAACACGGCGACGATTTCCCCACAAGCCCTGTATGGTACATTGCTCTACGCCCGCGTACGCCAACGTGACGCGCTCGCCTCAGAACATGATGCATCACACTCTTCTTATGCCGTCAACAGCCCACGCTTAGCGAGTTCTTGGACGGTGGCCGCCGGGAGGAACTGGAGAATGTCGGCTTGCTGCTTGGCATACGTGGTCGCGATGCGCTGGAGCGTCGCATCAAGCGCTACGTGCCATCGTCCGTGAGAAAGAACTGAACATAAGAGCTGTGTACCTAGCGTGAGCTGGTCGACCGCCGGTTGCTTGGCGCGGGTGTGTGCGTCGAGGGCCATGCGCAGCGCGAGAAGGCTCGAGAGCATCGCTGGCACCGACAGCTGCACGTACCCCTGCTTGTCCTTGGCGTACGACGCCGCTACGACAAGCCCCATGGCTTCGACGACGTGGAGCACCTCCTAGTCAAACTAGTTGATGGGTGGTCCGTCACTTCGCAAGACGTACCGTGACCGAGAGGAAGACGAGCGAGAGCACCATGTCGGTCGCCAGACGCTGCCACGCCGCGGACGCGGACGGCGCCGACGACAAGAGCGACAGCGGCGTGACCTCGCCTGAGACGAGCGTGCGCAGAAGCGACGCCCATGACGTAGCTTGCATCGGTACCGAACCGAGAGCCGCCGGCAGCATGGACTTCCACGTCGCAACGGCCTGCAGCTGCTGCGTGAGGAGGTCGAGGGTTGCCGTCGCAAACTGAAACGTGCGCGACCACGTGGCCTCGGACGCAAAGAGCGTCGCAGGCGCTTTTGTGGCCGCCGCGACGAGGTCGCCCGCGGCAAAGGATGCTTCCCAGATGGCGAGTGCGCGGTAGGACGGCGCCATCGCCTTGGACTTCATCGCGGTCGCCCGCGCGGAGAGAAAATCAAGCTGGACCTTCTGCAGCGCAATGCGGTACGGCTCCTTGCTGTCAGCGAGGGGCGACGCGGGGAGCGGGTACGCACTCAGCCACGCGTGCGTGAGCGGCGTCGGCGGCGACGCGGCGCCCGGCCGCGCAAACAAGTGCGCAAAAGTCCAGTGGACGAGAAGCAGCACGGCAAAGAGAACGCTGCTCGAGACAAGCGCGTGCCACGAGAGGCTCCACGACATGAGGCCCGCGACCAGCGTGGCGCCGAAAGCGTACTGGAGGCCAACGCTGAGCGTCGCGCCGTACGAGGCTTCGAGCGCACCAATCGGGTCGGTCATGGCCCGGAAGGCGAGCGGGTGCACGCTCGAGAATGCGAGTACATAGGACAAGCCGAAGCCCTGCACAAGCGAGAGAGCGCCGAGATGCTCAATGTGCGACGGCGAGACGTAGCAGACGAAGATGAGGTGCCAGAGGTAGCTCGTTACCGCCAAGACAAGCACGAGCAGCACTGTTTCCATACGCAGCGCGCGTGCGGCGGCCGCAGTCCAGTACGCTGGCGACGAAGACGGCAGACGCTGCGGCAGTGAGAAGAGAAGCACGATAGAGATAGCCCAGCTGCCAAGCACGAGAAGCACGAGCCCAATCGAGACTGCGATCCATTCGACGACCTGGGCCACATCGAGCGCGTACGCTTGGACGTTGGTAAGGCGCAAGGTGGCGAGAAGTGTCAGGAACGCATTGCCGCCGAGGCTAAGGAGCGCAGTGGCGGCTACAGCGCTGACGACGACGCCGGGCAGCGCGCCCGCGATCCGACTCCGTACACGGTCCATCGGTGCAAAAGTATGGCGCTGGGCAACAAACCTCTGGGAATTGGTGCATTTGTATAAAATGCTACAGGATTACCCACGAGCGATGCCATTGGCCAATCGATCGGATGTGCTCTGCGATTGGGTGCCCCATCGAGCAAGTCAGCGATATCCGGCTCAACTCTGGCAATGTCCGGATAAAAGCATCCGACGCTTCTTGACAGGCATGACCGCGACCTTCCAACGCGTCGTCCTCGCCCAGCCCGAGATCGCATCCATGATCTTTGAGTTTCAGTTTGGTCTCTACGAAGACGTGCGCCCGGCCTTCCGCGCCTGTAAGGAGCTCATCGCGTATGGCGTCAAGCGCTACATGTACGAGAGCGACGTGTCCTTCTTCGCGACGTTTGCGCCGCACGCCGCGTGGCCCCGCACCTCGAATGTCTTCGGCGCCCCGAGGTATTGCCTGCACCCGCGTCAGCGCGACGAGCGCTTGCCGCTGCACATGGCAGTTGCCGGTGGCTGCGTGGAACTGACCAAACGCATGCTTCGTTGTCGGCCCGACCTCGCCTCGGAAGATATGATCGTCTTGGCCTTCCACAAGGACCGCCTCGACCTTGTCGAGGTCCTGCTCTCTTTGCGAGCGACTGTTCCCGAGCTACAGGCGCGCGGCCTCATGAATGAAACGGGTGCGCTTCCTATGGAGGCCTCCTCGTGGAGACTGACAATGCCGGCGGCCTACTGTAGATGGGCGCCCAGAGTACAGCTGCTATTTGACCCGCATCCTCGCTCGAGACGACTCGAAGCGGCTGATTTTGGCCGAGCGCTTTGGCTTGCGCCCCGACGAGTACACGGCGTATAGCCGACGCGAAGCGTTCCTGCATGCAACGCTCGAGAACGCAACACTCGCGCTCCAACTGTTTCCTTGGCTTTGCTACTCGGGCATCTTGGACGATGTCGCGGGCAAAGGGTTCTTGCCGCTCGTGATCTCACTGCACGAACGCGAGCTCAACTGCTCGACGAAGGCGATGGACACGGCCGCTGCCAACGGCCATTTGGAGGTCGTTCGCTTTCTGCATGAGCACCGACGCGAAGGGTGTACGACGAGGGCCATGGACGAGGCGGCGACCAATGGAAACTTGGAGGTTGTCCGGTTTCTGCACGCTAGCCGAACGGAAGGCTGCACGATCGAGGCGCTTGACGGCGCCGCTCGTAATGGTTTGCTCGCGATTGTCCGCTTCCTCATTGAGCACCGCGCTGAGGGCGCATCGCCCCACATTCTCGACGCGGCCGCCGCAAAAGGCCACTATGGTGTCGTCCAGTACCTCCACAGCCTTGGCTCATTTGACGCAACCGTCGCTGCTGTCGACGACGCTGCGAGATTCGGTCATCGAGAAGTCGTCGAGTTTCTCTTGACCAACCGACGCGAAGGCTGCACCCACGACACGGTCGTCCAGAACGCGCTCGAGAATGGTCATCTGCGCACAGCCGCGTACCTCCTCTCGCTCAAGTACCGGTTTCCAACTGGGAGGATGAACTGGAACGCGGATAGCTTCCACAAGCCCGAGATCGTTGGTGTCCTCCAGATGTACATGGACCACGGCGGGCCGTGGGACGACAACTGGATGTCGTTTGCGTGCGAGGCCAGCAACTTGCCGCTCGTTCAGCTCCTTCACAAGAACGCGACGGCTCGGTGCCGCCCCAACGCGCTCAAGACGGCGATCAACAACAAGGCGTGGGTCGTCGTGTACTTTCTCCTAGCCAACGGCGCGGCCGACGTTACGTTGGATGTGCTCAGAGCTCTGCTGTGCATGGAGCGCTTCGACGATGTGACGCACCTTTTGCAGTTTTCGCCAAAGCAACGTGAATTCGCCCAACTCTTGCTGTGGGCTGCGCGAACCCACCGCACCGAGGCGACACGACATCTCCTCGCCCTCGGTATCGGCGAGCCACGTGGGTGCCTCGTCGAAATAGCCGGTTGCAAACAACACGTGACGGAGAGCACGCTGGCATTGCCGTACTGTATGGATGCGACGGACCATCTCGGCAACGTCATCTACCTTCTGCGTCTCTACAAGGTACCTTGTCGCCGCCGCGCAACGGTGCTACGACTCATCACACAAGAACTTACGCACCAAGGAAGCAAGGCCAGCCAAACCATCGATATGCCACCTTGCGTCGCGGCGCGCGCGACAGCGTTGTTGGCGCTAGGGGCCGTTGTCGACTGGGCACTGGCCCTTGTCATTTGTCATCTTCATGCAACCCACGCCGCGACGACCACGTCGCAGCTCCGTAAGGAGGCTGCACTAGTCCAGGACCTCGATCTCAAGATACAGCTGACGCGCCTCATCCGTAGCAAGCAAATAACGTCCTAGCGACGTACTTGGAGTGCAATCCGGTCGATTGATGTCGAGATATGGACATAATTGTCCAGAATACGAAAAACTACTTTTATACGAGCATATGACTGCCACCCCACGATCCCCACCAAGCCTGCGGAACAAGCCACTTTACTTGTTAGCACAGTTGGTTCGATGCTTCGTTGGTTGTTTTTGTTGATTTTAACCAATCCAGTACGATGTTGCCGAATCCATCACTGGGCTGGTGAGGCGGGGTGCTTGAAAGCCCAGGTCATCTCGGAAAACGAAATCATCCAAACTTGTTACGATGATAGAAACCACGTTGTCGACTACTAAACGCCGCACCATGTCGCCAATTGAGGCGCCTAACGCGAGATATCCGAGAAACTACTAATTATGGCAAGTATCATATCTAGCCATATTTGTTCGTTCTTCTCGCTCATGAGCACGCAGCCACGGCACAACTCTGCGCCCACAACTACATGTATGGAGCAAAGATATGCAAGTCTTGTTTCACGCATCAACATTGAAACGTCGAGACGGGGAGCGCAGTCATCGATGGAGAAATAGTGCCCAAGGTGGCCCAAGGTGGCGCCGTGATTGGCATGCGTGTTGATCTTGTGAGCTCCCACATTTAGTGGAGATAACAGCAAACAACCAACATAACCAAGTCAAGTGCAACCACAAAACATCGCGGTGGGCTTTGAGCGAACACTATGGGGCGAGTAAAACTAGTTTGCGCAGCGCATGCAAAAAAAGAGATGAGAATGTGGGAGTTCATTTTATTACCGGCTTTTCATCCGGCGGCCCGCGTGGATCGCAAATACAACCACGTCGAAAGTAAGCCCGTGATTGCCAATTGGCGCGTTGCTGGCATTTTCTTCAAGGATTTTCAGAGCGATGGTCTTGTACGATCTGGGCCACCGATGTGGACGATTGTGGAGCCGCCCCACCATCACTCACGAACCTCCGGTTGTCAAACTATTGCACAATGCCGAAAGCGTCATCACCCCAATCCCAATGCCACCACAAGCCGCGAAACACTCAATGCGTACGGCAAACGACGTGATTCACCGCATCTTGTGGGACGACTGCATTCCACAAGCCGAAGTTATCGTCGGGTACCTCGATCGGTTTGTCGGTACGGTCGAGCGCGACTTCGCCAAGTTTAATTGGGGGGACATTGCAACCTTGTCACAGAACGAGACCGCGATCCCGCAGCACCGGATCCAGTACTTCAAATGGCGCGATGAGGTCATTTGGGACAAGCGCGTGCGCCTCGACCGCGTCTTTGGCTCGTCCGGCCACGACGTGGTTACGTTTTCGCCGGCAACAGCCGCCTCATCACCGTCGTCTGCCGTCGCGCCGGTCAATGCAGCAGCATCACATATCAGCACGGACTGCGCAAACACGTTGGTGTGCTTTCGCATCATGGACCCCGCGGTTGTCGACGCATGCAAGCAACTACAAGCCGCAATCATCGCCGCCAACCCGCGACTGGCACCAGCAGCGCTCGCACCGGCGCGCTTCCACTGTACGCTTCTACGACTACGCCTCCAATCCCTCAACATTGTGCAGCGACTCACGTCTGACTTGGTCAACGAAGTTGCCATCGTCAAGCGCGTTTTGGTCGAGTGTCAAGGGCTGCTGCATACTCTGTGCACTTCGAGTGTCAAATTTGAGGGCGTCAGTGCTTTTCGCAACCGCGTCATCTACGCCAAGGCGGCGCCGCACGACGGACTGCTGACGCTCGTGGCGACGCTGAAAGCGCGGTTATTATCCGCTGGCATCGCGCTCGTTGGCAACTACGACCCGTACGAGCCACATATACAGCTTTTCAAACTCACCACGGATCACCGCCGGCTTGGCACCAAGATCAACGCCCGTTCATATGCTGCGTACGCTTCGGACCCCATCGGCTCGCATTCCATCACTAGCATGCATTTTTGCGCTCTCGACGACACCAGACATATCGCACCTGATGGGTTTTACCCGCAGCTAGCACCACCCGTGGCCAACGTGGCGCCAGCACGGATCACCGTAGACGCGGCGTCGAC